CAGGAATGCAAAAGCAGTGTCAGAAGGCTGGGAAAGTCGGCTTTGGATTTTTGTGGACTCCTTGCAAATCAGAGGAACCGTCTGGCTCAAATCTGCATTTAGGGCCGAGAGAAGAGGATTTCCTGCTATTTAGTTGCTTGAGGAAGGAAAGGATTTACCTCTCCGCTGCAACAGGACTTAATTTTTCTCCTCTTTAATAAGAATATCACGGTGTAGGGCAAGTGGTAGTAAACCTGCGAAAGCAATCACGTCTTTTCCTCCTCCTCCTTCGCCCCCCTCTCACCGTGAGGCAGCTACCCCCCACTCCAGCATCCTCCCCTCCCGGCTCCCATGCCCGGCGATGGCTTGGCGTCTCGCTCTGTCCCTGGTGGAAGACGGAGCCGTGGAGGGGACGTCGCTCTTCGGCCGGCTGCCTCACCCGTCCCGCCATCTGGATCCAGTTAGCCCGCTCGGCAGTAGGGCTGAGTCTCATTTCCTCCAACCAGTAATGTTATATAGGCAGTGATCCTGTTCTGCCCTAACGTAATTGAAAATTATGTGTATTGTAGGCTCGCAGCGCTGAAATGTAGACTCGTAAAAATCTGTGGCTCAGGTAGCCTGTGGAGATTGAATTTGGCACACAATGAAGCTTTTATGTAAAGTAAGAATTATAAGCCACCACATCAATATTGTGTTACAGGCATGACAATTCTTGGATGAGGAGGCCTTGAGTCAGGCTCGTCACCTTAAACAATGCTAATATTTCATACTTTATCAACAAGACTGGAGTTCTGAAGCCGGCAAGTTGGGCTTTTTTTTTTTCGTTTGCAAACGTCCCGCTGTTGAAGCTGCGGGTTCGTGAGCTCGATGCAGGCGCTGGCGGCGGGCGCTGGCCCTCGCTGTTTGTCTGGCAGATGGAACATCTCGCCCTTGGCGGGGCCGGGATGCTTCTCTGGAGCCTGGCCACTTGGTAGAGCTCGTGGAAGTTGTTTTATTGACGCTTGCACGTTACTGCTTTCCATGGGAGCTGTTTTTTATTTTATCCCCCCCCACTGGTGTGTTACCCACCGGTGGACATGGAAGCCATCTGCATGTGTGTTTGTGTGCAGCGCCAGGCCCTCTGGGCTTGGACCGTTCCTGCTGGGCTCCACGTGCCTGTCTAAGAGGAGAAGCAGCTTTGGCTACGTTTTAGGCTTTGCACTGTGTAGGACTTCTTGGATCCTCTTTGGCAGGGGTGGGTAAGAGAAGGAGCTTGCTGAGAGTCCAAGCTAAGGGTTTTGAAAGCAGAAAAGCAAAGTAGCAGTAGGATCTTCTGAAACTTTCATCTTGTACTTAGGCTGGTCAGACTGGTGTGGGAGCACCCACGCCGAAAGTACAGGCTCTCGTGAGACTGAGCAGGAGCAACCCTACCTCCTTGCTCTGTTTCTCCTAAGGGAATTTATTGCTAGGAAAAACCAGCAGAACTGACGGTCCTCAAGGCTTCGTAATCCCTGCAATGCTTACTGACTGGACGGGGTCTGCTATGAGCTTGCTCTCCTGCTATGTCAGTGCCTCTCAGTGAGCCTTTGGGGTCGTCTTGGAGAAGCCCACACACTTCTTGGCCTGTTTTTTTGGACAACCGCTGACTTGAGCTCCTTCATGGCTTGTCACGGTTGTAGGAATATTCCAGGGTTGCTCGTGACCATGGAGTGGTCATGGAAAAATGAGGGTGGTTGGTTTGTTTTGGTGGGTAACGGCTTTGTAGCCGTGGTAGCAGTAACTTCTCACTCTCCGAAATGGTTGCGGAGTTTGAAACAGATCCGTGTACCATGAGGCACACATCCTGTGAGGACATTTTCCTTGGAAGAAGGGAAAAATACTTCACCAGCTGGTTGGAAGAACCAGGGGAAGCTGACAGGTTAGCTGCGACCCATCAGAAACCTTTCTGCAAATTCACGTGCCCTCTTATGTGGCGGTGTTACGATCAGTGTCTAAGGCAACTGATGGACTTCTAAAAATGCAGCAGTTGACTTGTTCAGTAGTGCCATCCGCAAATCTGAAATACATCAGATTTCCCTGCAAGTTAAGAAGCTCTCAGCTTAGGTTTTGGGTTCATTTTCAGTGCACTTGGGTTGCATTTTTAAGCATTTTTTTGAAACCACAAAGGGTTAGAAAGTTACTTTAACATCATCTCAACTTTAAAATTTATGTTGTGGTCACCTATATTGAAGAGCAGGGATTTGATACAAGTGATCAAATATCTGGAGGCTTACAATCGCGTCGTGAGACTTAGAAATGTTGCTTACAGTAGACTAGCTCTGATTTGTTTGGGTTTTATTGCTCGTTTTTAAGAAGTGCTGAAACATTCTGGTCCACATTGCACAAATCCCAAATGTGAAGATGAATAAAACCAGGACTTCTTGGAACTTGAGGAACTTGTATGGGGCACAAATCCAGAGTATGGGTTTGTTTATTTGCATTCCGGTAGCTCAGAAGTCTCAGGCCCTCCAAGCAATGGGAATTGGTAATACATCCTCCTGCTGACTCCTGCTTTTGGTCACCTCGGTGCCCAGGGTCTTGCTGCAAACAGGCCCTGCATGCTAGCAAATGTTTTGCATACGTGAGCAAATGTGATAGTGATGTGCTGAAAGCATGGAACCAGATCTCCTTCCTTCCTTCATGGAGACGTAGATATGGCTTCCGTTGCTCGCCTGGGGCAGCGGGGGTTGTTTGTGTGTGGTTGTCCTTCAAGATTCCTCTTAAAAAAAAAAAAGAATGGGTAAACATAACTATTTCTCTAGATATTTTCTAAGAATAGGTCTGTTAGGTCAACCGGAGTCTAGTGCTAAATAGGATCTTCTGCAGTGGCCTGATCTATGTGTACAGCTGTTTCTCTTGGTTCTGGGAGGGGGCTGAAGGCATGTGGCGGTACGCATTTCTTCCAGCACGATACAGGGCTTTTAGAGAGCACGTATTAACCAGTATGCCGAACTGGCACGGTGCAGCACCATGTGGAGAGAAAAGCTTGGACTGAAATTATATTTAATGTGCTGCACGGAAGTATATTTGGGCTAACTAGTTTCCCGTGAGGCTGCTTTTGGTCAGAACGGAGCACTTATAACGCGGCAGTCTGGGTACCAGCTCGAGACTTCACCTGTTTGGTGGAAGCCTGGAGCTCGGCTGTGGGATCCAGCCGGGGTGCAGCGGCTCCTCCAGTGAGTTTAGCGAGAGGACATGCATGCCTGAGGGCAGAAGTTTTAGTCTATATATGATGCTGGTTAAATCCGTGGGAACGTTCTGCTCCTCCTCGAAGTGTGGTTAAGGTTTTTTTGCTTTTGCATCAACAGTCTCTTATGCTGCGGACTCGCTGCCTGCGCACACTGAGCGTGTCGGCCAGTGTCGATGACATGAAGAAGGTGGGGCTGTCCCCAAGTCTGGACAGCACAGCTGAGCCCGGGTGCACCAGGCTGTACTCCATCTTGGACATCATCAGCAGGAGAGCTTATTAAGTTTGGCCTTGTAATTGAACAAGTTGCATTGTGCAAATCCCTTAAGGGTTGTTCAACAGAAGATTTCTCTCCTGATGATGGTGAGCAGGAAGAAAATAATCCATGGTGACTTCCAGAAATGGTGAAAAGTAGACAAAATAGATGCTAAGACCCAACAGTATTGGGTCTTTTTGAGGTAGACCTCTGTCTTTAGGGCTCATACAGCACTGGGAAGCTGGAGGAGTTGACATGGTGCATTTGCTGAAAGAAGGCCGACAGATGATCCATTAAATAATGAGATCATATTCTTAACCCAGTATACTTGTTTTTGCTCTCCTGAGACCGATAAATCCGCCTTCCCCCCCCGTCCCATCCTCTCCATGGTTTTGATATTTTGTTTCTGTGTGTGTTCTATTATTCTTCTAGATTTGTTACGATTAAGAAAATTAATGTAATACTGTCCTTGCAATCTACTTTATTTTGTTATTCCTGAACTGTAATGTAGTGGTATGAAATTGTTAGTGTTCTGCACAGGTTTTGTCTCCATAAACATGCAAAGTCGTCTTAATTTTTGTTTCAGTTCCTTGCATAAATTTTGATTTATATCTTTTTACCCATGTTACCTAAATTTGTTATTTTTTTTGCCTTTATTTTCTGAACTCATTTTTCTTTCCCCATTTTTGTTTCCTCCATCCAGTATCTGCAGATGAAATGGCCACTGCTTGATGTTCAGGCAGGGAGCCTTCAGAGTAGACAAGCCCTCAAGGATGCTAGGTCTCCATCTCCAGCACACATTGTTGTAAGTAAACGCAGAAAGATATTCTTCATTTGTTTTTCTTTTTTAAAAAAAAAGGCATTTGACATTAATGGCATTGGTTGTCTTCGGTTTTCTTCTGCACAAACCAAAAGAGAAGTACTTCAAAACAAACAAAAACCCTAACGATCCCATGGTAAAAGGAGGGAATACATTTGCTGTTGCTGGGCAGTTTATGAAATTATCATTCATGTGCCTCATAGGAGAGCGGAGAGATGAAAATGCTCTAAATTCACACACTGCAGAATTGCTTTGTGGCAGTGAAGTCCGATCAGGCTGGTTTACACATCTGACAACATTGAACTGAAGTGAACGAAGAGATACCTTGGAAAGCATTAAAAAAAATATAAACCAAGCCTGTTCTACAGCCTTTACGAAAAAAATCTTTCCTTAGTGCAAAATCTTCAATGAAAGTTTGTGAGCGTTGGTCACCAGTTTACCTGAGTGAAGGCTCAGTGGAGCCAAGATCAGCAGAGCACATGTCCCTTTGTGTTGTGATGACTTCTCATTTAGTATAAAAAGTGTTATCAAATGTTTACTACTTACCTGCAAAATATAAAACTCTCTTTATAGTAAGTAGCATTGCTAAACATAGGGTTTTTTTTATGAACTTCTCAGATTTTCAGTTCTCGGTTAAATTTTCTTGCTTGTATTTTAAAAACAATGTTGGATTTGAAATGTTCAATACAATTTGCATGAGAGGGATCTGGGCTTTTATTTTACTTTCAAAAATAGCATCCATAGAGGTCTAAAAGCAAACTGTTGATTTATATGGTGTTATGCAAGAAGGGCGGTATGCGCTGGCCCATCCTCACCCATGGCCGGTGTAACTGCCATCTCAGGTTAAGGAGCAGCTTAGCTCCAAGCGCTCATCTGGGAAATTTACCCCTGGAGAAGATGGCACATAGTGGCTTAGAATATTTCTTCTGAAATACTTTATCATCAAGTTTTAAATGATTTTTTTTTAAAAAACTTTTCTATAGCCAATGGATAACAAGGTGAATCCCAGGAAATGAAACATTGCTTGGTCTTTATCTTTTGTTACGCTGTCTAAAGCTGGTGTAGCTGGTGGATCATCCAAGGTGATTTTTTGTTAGACATCTAAAATCATACTAGACGTTTTTGAGGAGCTGCTTATTCCATTGTTGTCACTTTAGAGTCTGTAGCTTCTGACCAGCCCTCAGCGCAGCGACGGGCGCAGGACTGGTATTTGCTTAGTCAATACCTAGCGCTGGTTGCTGCACTTTTTCAGAATGACTTTGCTTTTCCTTCCTGTCCACTTGGGACGTCACTGCAGGAAGAGAGCAGAGATAAGATGTTTGGCTGGTTATTTAGAAATCTACAGCCATGAAAACCTGCCATCATCTTACTCTTAATTAGAAATGAACCAAACTGACTTCCCTATTTGAATTCCTTTTTCACTGCTGTGCCTGTGGACCGGCATGGGGTCCGGGAGCGTTCCTGGGGCTGTGGGGCTGGCGTGGCGGAGCAGCGTGGGGCTGGCAGGAGATGATGGTGAGGAGCTGGAGGGTCCGGCTGGCTGCAGCCTAGGAGGGCAGGCTGTGTCTGGTGGGCGGCTTTGCTGGAGATCACCTGCGCTTCCCAGCGCTGAGCATCCGCTGGCCCCGAAGCTTTGTGCTGCGCAGGAGAGCGGCGCTTGCCTTTAAAAGCCACAGCAGCTGGTTGTGCCGGGGGGCTGGTTGGGGTCCCGGCTCCCCTGGCCCTCTCCAGCCCCTCCACCCGGGTGTGGGCGAGGTGGAGATGAGTGGACAACAGAAATACGCAAACAAAAAACGGGGTCAAAAATCACAGTCATTTTGGAAAATAAAGAGAAACCTGTTTCCAGGGAGGCTGAGGCTGATCTGCTGTGTATTTTGACCATTTATGGGGTTCTTATGGGTCTCTTTAAAAGCTGTTTCACTCTGCTGTTCAATAAAAAGCATATTTACCATAGCAACCACTTAGGCCGTGAGGAACATATACTACCTCCGAGATGGAGGCCACCTTCCAAAAGAGCCACAGCTGGCATTTGTAATGTGATCTTTTGTGCTACTTACAATGTTGGAGGGAGAGGAGGAGGGAGTGAGGGGGGGAGCAGTGGGGTTTTGAGGAGGGGGGGAGCATGCTGCAAGGTTTAATGTTTATTTCTAGCAGCAAACTGGTTTGCCCTTTTCTGTTAAAATAGATAAATAAGGGGCAGCTTTTTCCACCCTTTCTCCTGGCATCTGCCCCAGGCCGCATTCATTCTGTGGGGTAAAAATGGTCTTTTTTTTGGTAAATAAAGTTAGAGCGGGTAGTGGCATTTGGGGGAGATGCAGTGGCTGCTGCTGCCAGTTGGCCTGGGATGTGTCAGGCTTCTCTGGGGTCCCCGTTCGCTGCTGCTGTGCCTGCCCGCAGCACCTGGGACCTGGCCGCTCTTGCGTGAGGCTCTACACCCGGTTCTGCATACGTGAAAGCGCGATTAATCTTTTGATGGAACGATGAGGGGTATTTCATGGGCATACTGATTCTTCTGTGCGAGCGTAATGTATAATGTAGGGATAGAAACTGGTTCTCCGCCCACGGTGTTGTGTCTTGTCTGCCTGCCAAGCGTACCCATGCCAGTTTTTCATCCTGAAATCAGTTGTGCTGCCCTGAAGATCTATAGGAAAATGCTAACACCTGCAAATCAGTTCTTATCTTTCCTCTATCTCTGAAATAGGGATTTCAGGCTAATCTTCATAGCTGGATCACAAAGAGAGGAAAGGAGGGGGGGGGGGGTTCTTTTTTTTTTTTGCTAATCTTCATAGCTGGATCACAAAGAGAGGAAAGGAGAGGGGGGGGGAGTTCTTTTTTTTTTTCCTTTTTTTTTCTTTTCAACTTTTTTTTTTCCCTTTCCTTTCTTTTTTTAATATTCTTGCTTCCCAGTGCTTGGCTCTGATTACCATGAGCTCCGCGTCAGGGCTGCAGCCTTTACGCCCAGCTCAGGTGAAACTCCCCTTGGCTTCAGCACGGGTTTTTAGCTGAATGACTCAGGGCTGCAGAACATGGCCGTCTGCAATGTCTTAAGTAAAGTCTGTACTATTTGTCAGCCATCCTGCTTTCAGATTTGTTTAAGAACATTAAGTTAAGACTACAAAAATCGAAGCAAAAGACCAGCATGAATAATTTGGCTGGATTGCCCCCAGTGCTGAGGGCCGGGTTAATACCGCTTTTCATGGTGCTCAAGAGAGTCTCCAAGGCCCATAATGAGAAACAGAATATTAAACTGAAATTATGTTCAGCATGTCTTGAGGAAGGTACAGCAGGAGGCTCCATTTAAGACCAATGCATTTATTTGCATTTAGGTGCTTCACTCGTCTTGTAAGACCCTTGCGTCTTGCTCTGGCACAGTCATGCTGCTCATCTGTGTCCAAAGGTGAAAGAAAACTGGGGGAAAAATTGTATTAATAGTACGCTATTAAGCTTGCTAGGTCAAAGTTTTGAATTCAGCTTGTGGATAGTACTATTATGAGGCTGGGATTTTTTTTAAGGGCTTTTATGGTGATTTCTCCTGGTTTTTTTGACCTTTGATTTCACTGAAGATATTAAGACCTTGTAAAACAGTTTTAGCAGGAAGTTTCTGGGTGTAAAGTGGACCCCAGAGGGGTGCCTTGCGTGCTTCTCCGAGCGGGTAGGGTGCTAGATGTCCTGAAGTCCTGTGTTCAACAAGCACCTGATCCGCTCCGTGTGTGTGCACCGGTGTGGTGAGGAGATGGAATCTGGGTGCCTTAGGAGTGGGATTCTCACAGGCAAATTTTCTGGTGCGGTGTGGACAGGCAAGTGAAAATGAGCGTGGTATGTCTGTGCAAGGATCTCCAAAATCTGCTCGTTACAGAAAGCAAGCTTCTTAAGAAACTGTTTTTATCTACGCATGCATTCCTACAACCTTAAGAAGAAAACCAGTGCTGTTCTTCCCTGTTCTCTGCAGAGCAAATATTCTGACTCGAGCATACCCTGTTTTGGGCAGGGGCGTGGATGGAAGACCTGTCCCAGGATCCTGCCTCCTGCAGTCTCGGCTGTACAGAGGCTTGCTTTTACCTGCCTTTGTACCAGGCAAAAACATTCTGAACCCGAAATGGTGGAGGTTTGGTACAGTATATTTCTTACAAAACAAGTTTAAATAATTCTTGCATTTTCTTCTGCAAGGAGGCCTTTTGAAGTAAATGTAGATGTTATCTTGGGGGAGGACTTCTAGTACTGTTTGGCCTGGGTTTTCTAATGTGCAATGAACACAGCTATGAAGTAGACTGAATCCCCAAGAACAAAGAATCACTGTGCAGTTGTGTATCTAATTTTTTTCCTTTTTTTCCTTAAGGAGGTAAAAATGTGTTGTCAAAACAAAAGATGACAAAACTGAAGGCAAAACCATCTGAAACATACCTTCTGTTCTCAGCCTCTTCGGCGTGTGTGGACAGCGGGTGTCTGGGACCGCTGGGCGGTTTGCGGGGACCGGGAGTTGTTTCCCAGAGCAGTTAGAGCTGAGGCTGCGCAGTCTGCCCTGCTTGGTCCCTGGTTTCTTTCAGCCTTGTGTGGTTTGAAGTTACGCACTTTGAAAGAAAAGATAAATACCGACAAGTAATCATGTGGTTTATCTTAGCTGGTTTTTATAATTCACCTACAGCGTCCCTTCAGACAGGCCAGAAGTGGGGTGCATCCAGACCCAGACATGGTCCTGTATGTACAGAGCCATCGGGAAGCATAACCTTGCAACGTCTACTCGCGGTGCCCCAAGAGGACTTACAAAGCTTTTGCTTTGTTTGTCTTTAATATTTCGCTGCAGAGAAGCTGTTCTTCCTCTGCAGTAACCTCTGAAGATGTTTCAGGATTTGAGGCCGCGTGTGGGACACCCTCTTCCCTGGAGATCCACAGGGCGATCTTCTGGGCACGCAGGCGGTGTTGGGAGTTGCAGGGATGTGGTGGCATGGTAGGGGTTGGGCATCGTTCACGTCAGTGCCTGGTATCGA